CTATTTCCGGCTGCCGATCCGGGCGTGCGCATGCGCCCGCCTATCTCGCCGGTCAGCATATCATTCTGCGAACGAAGTATCGGATCGAACTTGTTATTGTACTGCGTTTTCCGTTGCCGGAACTTTTTCCGTTCAAACAAGTTACTAGATTATTTTCTGCCGCATATCGCAAGTCGATTCTTTTCCTTATTTTCTCTTTGTTAATGATCTTTTCTAGAGCAATTAGTATCGCCGTACCAAGCGTTTATTAAAGTGTTCTTTCTTACTTTAATTTTAGCGTACGCATTCTTTCGCCCGCTCACCACTATCCCGTCGAAAATCTCATAACTCGCCCTCTGTTTCCGCCCTGCCCCTCTGCCGTTAGGTAGAGCCGGTCGGCCCTCACGCGGTCGACCTTGGGAGTGGCCTTCGTCGGTAGATTCCACGTATTGTCGCGCGTAAGAGTATTATTCGCGCTATTGCATTAAACGCTTTGCATTTTGCGAGTGACGTGCCATAGAGCACGTCTGGCGCCCAATTTTTGCGTCGCCACCCCGCGTCGCTCGTGGCAGGGACTTAAGCAAGAGGACCATCACCTTCCCTCCCGAAATCGTTCGCGATTTCCTTTCTTTCGTTTTTGATCCGTGCTCGCGCGAACCCCGCGGAGCACGTGACAGTATATATACATATATATGTATGTACGTACATATATGTACATACATATATGTATAGTATACAGGGTGTTCCAAAATTGGCGCATTCGGAGTACAGAACGTGATACTTTGTGCTAAAAGGAACAACTTTTTCCTTTAGCAAATTTTAATCTGACAAGTAATTTTGGCAGGAGAGCTGGTTAAAGTTAACGAATAATCGCTCTTGTCCATGCGGCGCTCAGGGCCGGCGCGCGCTCCTCCATTCACTTGTTCCTAATCCTTGACTAATATTTACAAGTAATGTCTTAAGATACTCTAATTAGTTAACGACATTTTAAGACTGTGTTTAAGACAGTCTTAAATATTAATAATTAATAATAATATTTAATAGTAATGTCTTAAGATACTCTAATTAGTTAACGACATTTTAAGACTGTGTTTAAGACAGTCTTAAATATTAATAATTAATAATAATATTTATAACTGATTCTTAATATTTAAAACTGTCTTAAACACAGTCTTAAAATGTCGTAAATTAATTATAACAGAGCCGTATTAGTATCTTAAGACATTACTTGTAAATATTAGCCAAGAATTAGGAACAGGTGAATGGAGGAGCGCGCGTCGACCTTGAGCGCCGCATGGACAAGAGCGATTATTTGTTAACTTTAACCAGCTCTCCTGCCAAAATTATTTATCAGATCAAAATTTGCTAAAAGAAAAAGTTGTTCCTTTTAACACAAAGTATCACGTCCTGTACTCCGAATGCGCCAATTTTGGGAAACATATAGGAAAGCGGGAAAGCTACCTTCTGTGGACAAAGTAGAAGCGCGGCTTTTGTTTTCGTTTATATCTTTCCTTGTGTTTTACTGTTGCTACTATGCCGTTGCACATCGTCTTACAGTAAATTCTTTATAATTCGTGCGCAACAGGCACATCTATCCCGGTAGAAAGAATCGAACTGCAGTATATCCGTGTCTACAAGTGTGAACAATTGATATTGTGTAATTTGGTATATATAACTCGGGACAGTGAAAATTCTTTTTATGTTATTCCATCGGGTGGACTTGTGCCTTGTTTCGAGGTTATATGACGCCTTGCTTTCTTCAGCTAATTGTAAGTATAATGTATGCTTTTCATATTATTTTTCTTATTTTCTTGATAATACACTTAAAAGAATAACTTTAATTTTTTCTAATTTTTTGTACTTAATCAGATTGATAATATACTTTCACTTCTTTCTAGATTTCTCTCGACGGTGGATGGTTATGTTGATATTATAACCAATCTTAAAAAGTTAGTTTAGAGCTTATATCTTTTTGCTTGAGCATCTGAAAGTTGTCACGAGTAATTAAAATATAAAAAGGTTTGTTGTGTTGTGCTGTTTGTGCTTTGTAACGAAAGTATTACGGAGAACAAAAAAATTTTTATTATGGATTTTTCGAAAAGACAAAAAAGTCGGCATTTTGCCAGAGACGCTTATGAAGAATTAAAGCAGCTATATCAGTCTCTTCATCATAGAAAAGAAACTAATTGCTATGATTCCGATATCAACATCGAATTGAATAACATTCCAATGGAACTGAAACCAATGGAATGCTTAATTAAAATTAAACACAAATCGACAGAAATCAATTTAAGTACGTCCTTGAATTTTCAAGTATATAATGATTTACACAGCACCATAAATAATTTTGAGTTGAGAGAAAACATACTTGTTGACGAATCATCAAAAATAAATTCTTTAGAAACAAAATTACCAACAAAGATAAAAGCTTCTAATAAGATGATACAATCCTTAGCTAAATGGGATCTATTACACAATATAACTCATTCAGCATTTGATAACTTGTTGGTTTGCTTAAATGAATTTGTGGATGGTCTACCCTCAAAGAGAGAAAACTATACTTAATACTCCTAGGCAAGTAAATACTTTAACTTTAGATAATGGTTCATACACACATATTGGTATTACAAATAATCTGTTAAAAATGTTAAATGATTTAAATAAAAATGTAAATCAAATTTTAAAGATTGATGTAAATATTGATGGTGTTCCAATTTACAATTAAAAGTAGTGGAATATGCCTATTCTTATAAAATGTTTAAACATAAAAAATAAAAATCCTTTTGTAGTTGGCATTTTTACGGGCACTGGAAAACCGAAACCTTTGGATCTGTTTTTACAAGAAATTTTAATTGAATTAAATGATCTATCAATAAATGGTTTTTTTTATAATGAACAAAAAATAAAAGTAAATGCTTTTATATGTGATGCACCAGCTCGATCATATTTAAAATGTTGTATTTCTTATAATGGTAGGCATGGTTGTGAAAAGTGCACTGCTGAAGGAATTAGTATCGCACATCGAATGATATTCAAAAATATTTGTGCTCCAAAAAGAACTGATCAATCATTCTATGATCAGATTGATGAAGATCATCATAAAGGCATTTCTCCTTTAGTAAGATGCAATATTGGTGCAGTAACTCAATTTCCATTAGATCCTAAGCATCTTTTATGTCTAAGAATAATGAAAACATTATTATTTCGCTGGGTTTGTAATGGAAAACCACCTTATAAACTTTCCTTCCATTCAATTGAGAACTTAAAAAAAAAGTTTTTAAAATCATTCATTCCAAATGATTTTGTAAGAAAAACAAGACCTCTAACAGAATTAAGCATGAAAGACTACTGAATATAGATTTTTTCTTTAATATGTTGGACCTGTAGTCTTAAAAGACATACTAGCAGATAATACAATTTATAAGCATTTTATGCTTTTACATTGTGCAGTATTTATTTTATCAAGTGCTGAACTTGTTAGAAATTATATAAATTATGCTGAAGAAATTTTAAAAAATTTTGTTTTGCATGCAGAACATATTTATGGAAATTACATTCTAATTTATAATTTTCATAATCTTATTCATATTTGTGATGACGTTAAAAAGTTTAATCTATTATGGGATTATTCTAGTTTTCCCTTCGAAAATTTTTTAGGCAAATTAAAAAAATTGATTCGATATCCAGCTAATCCTCATCAACAAATTTGTTTGCGCATTAGTGAGTTAAATATGCTTAAATCATCTTTTGAAGAAGAGACTGTGCAGGGAGTTCATTCTCATATTAAGGGTCCTATACCAAGAAAATATAAGTATACAAAACAGTTCCGTAAAATAATAGCACCATTTTACACATTATCAATATCAAATAATAATAGTCATATAGAACTAGATAATGGAACAATTGCCACAGTTAAAAATATTTTATTTGAAATTCATATGAAATATTATGTAGTTGTTAATGAATATAAAGAGAAGAAAAACTTTTACAACTATCCATGCGATTCATCCATTCTTAATACTTTCAAAGTTTCTAATTTAAATTCGACACTTCAGGTTCATGATTTAAAAAATGTAAAAAGAAAATTAGTCGCTTTACCAGATAGTCAATCTGAAATTGATACATATGTTACATTTCCATTATTACACCTTAACTAATAAACAATTTAAAATTGCTTTATTTGAACTTATAACTACTTGTTTTATATTTATTATCTAATTATTATATCAAAATGAATGAAATTTTAAACAACAGCCTTTGTTATAAATTCTTTGTGTATAAAGAAAAATTTAAAATATTGAAATTAGGTAAAAGACGGCTGAATAAAAATTTAATTATAAATTACAAAAAAGAATCAACATTAAGAATCAGAATAAAAAAGAAATTATTTCATTAATTTTATTGATAAAACATTTAATGGATTTAATATAATAGTTTTATTTATATAATTACAATAGTATTTATTTTAGTAAATTATGCATTGTGTGGCTGAATTCACTGAAACCGCAGAAACAGAAGTTATACCAATAAGATGGATTAATAAAGACGAAACTAGATGCTTTTGGCCTGATTATTATAAAAACGATCAAGTAAAAAAAGCTATTTTATGTATTGAAAGTCCTGATTCAGAAAAATGGAGCAAATATTCCCTCAGAATATTACGTAAATACAGTGAGTAAATTTATTAAATCTTTAAAAAAACAAACTTTATATTAATAATAATAAATATAATAATAATGAACTTTGATTGCAGATTCATATCAAGAAGCTCGTTCTCATTTATCAAAAGCTATATACTTCTCATCTTGATTCAGAAGGTCTAGAGAATGAATGCAGATGTAAAAGAAAAACAAGATCAAAGATTTATGCTTCAAATGAAGAGAGCGAGGAAGAGAACCTTGTTTCAAAAAAAGTTAAACAATACAAAAATAAGAATAAAATAAGGTCTGTTGGATTATTTGAGAAATGTTCTTCAGGCAGGGAAAACTTAATGCTATTAAACTCTGTAGCTGAATCGTCATATGAAAAAAATTTTGCAGAAAAGAAAAATTTTAATTCCTCTATTATTCCTACTACCTTTACAAATAATAATAATAAACGTTTAATGAAAAGGGAACCTTCCTCCCAATCAGAAATTTATTCTTCAAATGAAGAAAGTCTTTTGTCAAAGAAACAAAGGCAAAACAAAAATAAAGTGAAGTCTCCTTCTATAATTAGAGCACCTGATAAATATACAGACAGGGAAGACATTACTCTAAATTCTTTAGTAGAGGTATCACGTGCAAGGAATTTTACAAAAGAAAATGAAAATACTAATTAATGTGTTATGTCTGCTACTCCTATAAATAATAACAAAAATACAGGTACTAGTTTTTTATAAAATTATATTTGATTAAAGTAAAAGAAAAAAAAAGGAAATAGTTTTTAATTTCATTTTTGTTCAATATCAAATTAAAAAATTTGCAACGGATAAGGTGTTGAATATATTTACAAAAATTTTTGCAATTAAACAAAATTTTTTATAGATAATTATATCAAATTTAATTAACAATATTACTAATAAAGAATAAGTAAAAGTCCTTTAAAGTTATTGATAATCAACTTTATCAGTGTATTTTAAAATGTTTATTATTAATATACTTTTTTTTAATTTTAAATTAATCAAAGTTGTTCTTAATTTAATACATTAAATTAATTAAATTTATATTCTTTTTTTAAACAGAATCACTAGAATTATTAATTTTGAAAAAGCTTAGGAAGCTCGATTACATACAGAATAATATTATAGTACCTGTTATACAGGAAATATTAACTCTTTTAAGACCTCAGAGATTAGAAGTCTTTCAAGAAACAGTTGTTCCTACACTGCCGATTGACAATGACGCACAACTTAATGAATTTGAGGAGTATCTTTCTACTACTGAAAATTATAACAACATGGTGAGTGTTACGTACTATTTGTATATACATCGTGTAAGTTCAGTAGATATTTCATTAATTTAATATGTCTATATTATCGTATTGTGTCTATAGTATTGTGTCTATTTTCAGAAATTAAAATTTAATCATGTTGGAATAAGTCATGGTGCAGCGGGAACTACAAGAAAAATACTGAAAAGTCTTATTACTTCAAAGTTTGCGATGAATTTTAATTGGGGAGGAAGAACTCCAAAGAAGCCTTTTAAAGAACTTAAATTAAAAGATTTGATTCTCGGTATTAAAATTGTATAGTATTATAATATAGTACATAATACAATATACAGGGTGATTCAGAATAAGTATATTGTTCTTAAACATAGGTATTTCTGACCACATTCTGAGACAATTTTTCCTTTGGCAAAAATTTGTGCGGAGCTTAGTTTTCAAGTTATAAAGAGAAATAGTTAGTGAATTACGGGCCGCGTACGGAAGGTAGACAGAGGCGGCGCAACTTACTGTCCGACGGCAGGCGGTACGCGAGACCCTCGCGACGATCAGCTGACTACACGCGCGCATAAACATGTGTTTACATTTTCTCTCTCTCTCTTTTTCATACGCACGCATGCACGTACGCACGCACGCACGCACGCACGCACGCACAAAACCTTACCTTTTAAAGGTTTGTCGACTTCTGTAGCTTCTCGAAAAAGATAGATGAATTCTCATTTCGATGTGATTTCCACGTAATGAGTGTTTATTTTATTAAATTTTGATAGTTTTAATGTAAACGTCACAAGTTATCCACTGACTGACACAGATTAATAATAATTAATTAGTTAATACTTTTTTACAAACCGTGTCACTTCAACATTTTACATACGAA